TTTTTTCATATGTCCAGTTAAGCTTTAAAAAAGTCAGATCCTATGATTACATCTTTCTAATTTATTTACGAAACTTCCAAACTTCCATAGCTCAGTGGAAAATGCACAAGTAGTAATAATAAAAGTAATTTAGCAAAAAACTAATCCAGTTTAGATTTAGTAGTGTTAATCTTATGAATGTGCCGCAGTGAAGGTCATCTCGATGTTCAGGCTTTTTGCCAGCAGACCAGCAAGATATTATTTAATTCCATTAGACTTTTTTCCCTCTCTCTGCAGACCCAGATGAGTAGCGCAGCAATCTGCAATGATATGTATATTTAAACTGCCAAGGTTTCTCTTTACCCCCTGCTAAAGCCTGCCGAGTGGGTCTAAGAAAAAGTTGTGCACATTATAACAAATGTAAAATAATTAAAAGAATGTGCCAGCTTAAAGGTCAGTATGTTGTTGTGTCAAGTCATGCTAATAACAGTTATTCTGCTATACACGGGAGACTTCCTATTTATTTTATTTCCTAGACCTTCTCGAATACTACTTGTAAATTAATCAACGGATACAAATAGTGGCTATCTCTTTCTCCTGTTGTGCACAGCTTTTGGGCTGACGTATTGAAAGTCACTTTATAGTCAATTTGCATATGCATTCCTAACATAAACTAAATGTTAATAGTCCCCATGACATTTCCATCTAACTGATGGCCAGATTCAAGACACTCCACACACATAGCAACCAAGCAAACTGGAATTTCAGATTTATTAGCACGACAAAAATTGATTGAGTGTGCATTTTTTATATGACTGGCATATCTCGGATTGCCAAAGAATATTCCCTAGCAGCTATAAAATATGTTTATACAAACAATACAAAGGGAATTTTTAGCAAGACATAAAACTGCTCATTATTTCAAACATAAATTATGAATTAATGGTACAGACAACTTGACCTTTTAATCTTCTTGAAAATAAACTGTAAATAACATTTAAAAAAGTGATTTAAATCATCACTCTATAATGTATATAAAACATTAAAAATAGACAAAATGTTGTTAGTTGATTGTTATTGGAACCTTACATGATGGGATTCAGCAGATTTTATGGTAGTTTATTGCAGGCTATAAAGCGTTATATTTTCAGTTTTGAACCAGCATAATATGAGTTAAGAAAAAAATCAGATATAATGCTATCTTGGGATGTGTAAGAAAATATATATATTTTTTTGCAATTGTTCTTACTCTTAATGCTTTAATAAGAAGTACATTTAGGAAAAATATTATGTACTTTTTCACATGTATTTCTAATTTAGATTTTTTTAGATGCTTAATTAATTTAATGTTAAATGAAAAAAAGCACACCTTAAATTATAAAATTTGGGTTACTGCAAATGTCATGGATATGTGCATTTACATGTAGTATACATTGTTTTCATGTTATTACTGCCATGTTACACAACACTGCTTTACCACTCTTTCCTACCCACTGTTCTGGGTTAACAGGTTAATTCACGGGGCTTTCTGTGGTACAACCAAGAGCCAATATCCTTATATCATAAAAACATGTTTGTTTATTTTTTTCATTAAAACCAGATGAAAACACATGTTTGTAAAGGTGGCTAGAACTTCCTATGTATAACATATACATTATGCAAATGCATCAACTGCTGTGCATAACTTAACATCAAAAATGGCCAACATGGGTGTATTACAGATAATCCATAGCTTGTCAGTGATGTAATGGTAACGATTCTCAACATGTTTTGCATATATAGGGGTCTATTCACAAAGCTGCCGAAGGATCTGGCCGTAGCTTCGGCCGATCCTTCGACAGCAAGAGGGAGAAGATTATGCTCTGAACCAGCTAAAAACTCAACAATGGAAACACCTACATATATGTCAGCCTTTCTTGGGGACCACAAAAGAGGTCATATAAGTGGGCAGTGATCACAATAGGGTACTCATTTTGCCTGATGCCGCTGGTGTAAAATGGTAGAAAAGCACTAGGGTCTCCCTATGCAGCCTGGTGGGGTTCTGAACACTGAGGTCACTGCCTGAAACACATGCAAAAAAGAAAACAAGAGCAGCACCCTCTCTTCATGTGATACCACTTTTTATTAAAAAATTATATAAAAGCACATTTTATATTTACAAGAGTCCTTGTATAGACACGGCTTTTAGATTGATGCATAAAATGAAAGTCATATGCCACTAAGCCGACTGGACATCAGATCATCATCAAAGGCAATGAATAGGTAATGGTTAATGCATTGGAATGCAGAAACCATCTTCATCAGAACCAAAACCATATCTGTTTTGGTTCTGACAAAGATGGTTTAACCATTGAATCGTGTTAACCCTTACATATCCATTGCCTTTGATGATGCTCTGATGTTCAGTATTAAATTTGCTTTTATATACATTTAATAAAAAGCGGTATCACACGAACAGAGGGCACAACCAATTAGGCATCCCCTAGCCTAGTCATTAATAATCATCTATGGGGGTCATTAACAAAGACTGGTGCAAAGAAGAGAAAATTGGTAGCAGTTACTTGGGGTTACTAATCATGTTTTGTCTTGATATAAAATTAAAGTGTAGCCCATTTGGCAAGTTTTTTTATTGCTGTCTGTGTCCACAATGAGGCTATTGACCCCTTTATTAGGCCTGATGACTACAGTCAGTGGGACACAAAGTGAGGAGAAATCCAAAATGTTAGCATTGTCACTAGAGTAAGAGTTGAGGGCAATTATTCAAAGGAGACAATGACAGCTGTCAAAGACATGAATGTCCTCTTGTTTACTGTCCTGCCTGTAAGACAGGAAGTGAATGTGATAGCAAAAAATAACCTAAAATATATTGTTAACCCTTTCCTACTCTAACCAAACCTAAAAAAAAAAGGTTTAACTATGCATTCACTTTAAAGTGTATGGTATGAGTGATCCTCCACTGTTGGGCTTGTGTTTTTGTTGGCTGATATTGCTATTAGACTTACAGGATTCATCATGTGCAGGTAATGAAATGTAAAAATATAAGAACACTGAAACAAATTACTAAATTGGTAATTCTTTCCCTATGCCCTTGTAAAAGCCATGTTATCACTTCACCCATAATGGATGTGACTGAGGAGAGTTTACAATATATTGCATAGAGGAATGATGATGTTTGAAGTACTGTAAATTATATAACCAGTAAACTATATTTCACTGACCAACAACAAACTGAAATGGGATTGGTTGCTATGGATTACCACATTTTGCACATCACAATTGCCCTTTATACTTCCTTACTGAAAAAGGCTACACAAATAGTAAAGACCCATAGCCCGAATTGGTGCAGTAAACCTTAAAAGAGAACTATGGGGTAACCTTTTTATCCCATAGTTCTCCTCAGGGTCATGGGAGGACTATATACTAACGTCCTCCCGAGACCCAAAACTCTATTGCCCACTATGTGCTGAGAGAGCCACAGCCGGGACAGATCCTGACAATGCTGTTGAGATCCACCCCGCTGTCTGACAGTGGGCTCTGCCTATGTAGAGGAAGAGTCATCTATGCCAACCCCCTCTCCCGTCGATCCCTCCAATCAGTGCTGGAGGGTCGCAGCAGGCAGCGGGGAAATCCCTGTGGGGAGCGGCAACTGACAGTCACCACTCTCTGCAGGGAGATGATCGGGAAGTGAGCAAGCTGTGGTATGTGTTCACTCACTTCCCGATGAATAGAGCCGATGTGTGACAATTTTAATGTCACACTTCGGGTCTAACTATGGGGATGAGTGTATTTCACTCACCCCATAGTTCTCATTTAAAGCAGTGAATTTACACAATAAGGATTATTGGTCTAATTTACTAAAGGAGTCAAGTTTCCATAGCCTGTGTTACTTTAAGCTATACAGGTTTAGGTCAAAATACAAATTTTGCTTAATCTGCGTATTAGGAAGTAAACACATGTTGACGTGAATGTCAACATTTAGTAAATCAGCCCTTAGCCACAAACTAACACATTTGCCTAAAAAATAGCAGGCTAGTATTCTAGGAAACACATTTTTGCTGTGTCTGTCTGTTTAGATGTCTGTCTTTTTAGTTTGCTGATCACACAGCTGCTCAGGGGAAACATACATTATTTAAAGAATAAGTGCATTTCCACAAAACCCAATAAAACCCTACACCATCCTCCTCATTACATCAATACTATATATTACCAATCATAAATACAAACGCAACCTTAGCAGATGGCATCAGCTTGCCCAAAGCCACAGCTTTGTTTACATGTCTGTTGTGCTTACCAACCTTCTGTGTGAATCCATTATAGAGATAATAGGCCATCTCCATAATGTCTCCAAGTCTCTGGCAACAGCCCCCTTCATTCCTAAAGAGGATGCTGGCTTATGCCAGGACAGCACATCAAGAATATAAACAAAGCTACATTTCTGACAGACCTTGGAAATATATGTACATGGGTTGCCAAATTTGCCATGAGGTGGCTGGGGGTGGTGTAGGACTTTTTTGTGAAATGCACTTATTAAAGTGTTAATACCCAAATATGATGCAAACATCTGCTCCTCAGAAATCAATAATATTAAAATGATGATTCCTTTATTTCCCTCTGTTGAGATCATTTTTACTTCCTTTACCTGTCTTGTGTCTTGTGTCTATCCCTGTGAGGTCAGGTATTCATGAGATAGAGTAGGCTCCTTCAAAAAGTGAACTCCCAGAAGTCAAAGTAGTGGGTACACATAAGAAAGCTCCCAATATTGGAGGCACATTGGGTAAAGGATTCAGGGATGAAACTAATAAACAAGGGCAGGTAAATATGGTGCTGCACAAATGTGCAGCACAGAATAAGATTGTCTTATCAGAGTGGAAATTGGTAATTATTTTTACAGTAGCATTGATATCTCTTAGCATTATTTCATGTTAAACTTAGTGATGGCAGGTTCTTTTAAAGGATTACATTGAAACATTGTGGAATATGCTTGTCACTGATTTTTCCTTTCTAATTTTTAAATTAATTAGAAAATGACTCCCGGGGATGTGGGAATTACCATGGATAACTCAGAATTTGTAGCCACTAGACAAGCATCTACAACACTGGTACCACCCCTTTTCTCTGAGAAAGACTCTAAGAACCATCATACCTTGTGACCACCATGCCTATTCCATATCATCACACAGGGGTGGTCACACATTGGCCATGTTGTAAAAATAAGGGTATGATTGAGATGGACTGCAATTTGAAGATAACCATGTCAAGCAGAGCTAAGGTTCAACATGATATGAAATTATTGCAATTCATATAAGAACAAAGTTGGATGACTAATTATAATCATGTAGTAATCACAAAAAACATAACTAAATTGTGTTTTACTTGTACAGTGTAAAATTTGAATGCAAATTCCAGAAACATAATTCTAGAAAGAGGGACATAATTTGGTTACAAATTGTTAACAACACGTGTTTTGGCTATTCCTTGCTGGTTTAACCCATCTTTAAGGCCACCAACCAAGTCCTGCCGCCTTTGGGTCCTGCCACAAACCATAAAACCTTAAGTTTACATTCCTTTTTCTGTCTTTCTTTGGCAGAATGTATACGGTAATTGGAGACACTGAAAGCAAACTATTACTTGCCCTTACATTTATGATTAATAACAATCCTGTTGTTTGTATGCTTGTATATCTAAAAAATATATCCAATTAAAGTGTTTGTACTTAGGAATTTATTACAGTTTCCAAATGTGTTAAACAACATTTAGAAAGTGTTACCTAGCCAACCATGTGTTTATAAAAAATCTTCCTGCAAACTTGAAAGTATATTGAATATTGGAATGTTTTAATTTGTTACTGTTGTGTGTGGCACATACTCATGGTCTTCGGTACCTTCTTATTCATGGTAGCTGAATGATGTTAGCAGTTCATTCTGGGAATCTTGCTCTGTATAATTGTATTTGCTAAGTATTATTGGAAATACTAATTGAAACTGTCAGTAATATAATGGGCCATTGTAAACTATAACTTATATGCAGTAAATGATTATTAGGATTATGATAGTTGACAATGTAATGTGTGCCATGTTACCTTCTGTTATGATCTTTGTTCAAATGTATGCAAGTTTATATTTTCCAAAGGGATTGTTTTATATGATGTGTCTGAAAGCTAATTGCACTCATTCATGTATATTTTGTCACTTATACAATCTGTCCTGCCTTTTGCTTTAATATATGTAGACCTTTTTCTTACAGACATATTTTCATTCAATTATAAAAACTACACTACTCTTTCCTAAATGTCACTGTAAAATAACAATAAAGTCTGATAAGTTGTTTTATACAGTTTGGAGACTTTGTCCTGAATTTACTTGTCTCTCTTAACAGTCTGCAGTACAAAATGTGTATATAAATGAAGTCACACAATATTCCTAGTTTAAAAATATGAAAGGAGGTATGATCCTCAACCTATAGCTTAAAGTAGAATGCTGGCAAAAATGTTGGGGGGGTTTGGAAATGGGAAAGGGATAGAAGCTCTGTCAGATTTTACTCTCTGTCAGAACCACATTCACTTTCATTGTTTCTGGGGCAAGAAGTAAGAGGAGATCTCTCTACAAGGGGCATCTCTCTACATTGCGTGGCAATACCAGGGTGTTAGGTGGCCTCAAAGTCACCCAGGGTTCTCAGCCAGAGGGGCTGAGTGGCTCCAGGATCCCAACTATGATCCAGAGAACCTGGAAAGGACTGAAAAGGCAGTTCTTTCCTGGTACCAGTAATGTCTTCCTGGAGCCA